CAAAATCAAAATCAAAACCAAAACCACCAACCACCACCACCCGAAACAATGGCTGACACTGCGACCCCCAGGTATGCCTCCTCTCTATCTCTCTCTCTCTCTTTATCTTCCTCTCACCATCACCCTTCACATCACATCACATCACATCACCATACCACATCACATCACACCACACCACCAAGCACCCAATGCACATGAATTCAATTCAATTCAATTCACTCATGCATTCAATCCCGTAGCCCCCGTCCCCGCTCCCCCAGATCGAAGCCTCCATCTCCAACACCACCCCCCGCCCCCGCCCCCTCTACCATCACCCCCGCAGCCGCAACAGCAGCAGCAGGAGGACCAGCACCAGCACCAGCATCCCCAGCTAACACTCGCACCTCCCCCAGTCTCTCCGAGACCCGTCCCGGCGGCAACCGCAAGAACAACCGCCAGGAGTCTGAGTCGGCCGGTGGTCTCGTCGGGGGACTGGTCCTGCCTGGTGAGCAGCAGGGACAGGATGAGAAGGAGAGCTTGAAGATTCGCATTCACTTGAATCTGCATGCGAAGGTCAAGCTGGACTTGGATGCGCAGCTGTATGGTGATATCGTTATTGGGCTGTTGTAGGGGGGTTGGTACGGATTTTCATCATGTATCTATCTACTTACAGTACCTATGACTGTGGTGCTGGCTGGGTGTGATGCGGTGGGATGGGAGGTTTATGATGTGATGTGATGTGATGAGATTATATTTGAGGATCTGAATGGATGCGTGCGATTGAGATTGAGATTGCTACTTGATGTGTTGGTTTGTAGGGATGGGTTGCGTAGATGTAGGTATATTTGGTAAAATGGGTGTGGGGGCTCATGTTCATTTGGTGGCTTGGGGATTATAGTGATTATAAGGAACTTGTGGTCAAGGGTTTTCCTGATATTTTTACTAGCAAGTTCCGACTATGTGTTTGGCATATGTTATATCGAATGTCTTACAAAGCCACTACAATGAAAGAAGTAGGTAAGTGACTATACCATAATTTCATGGCTTTTGGTAAGCATACATGTAGGGCTAAACTGCCTACTTTCATAGTCTGATATATGCTTCCATACATCCTACACAGTCCATAGACTCTATATATTCATTCTATATCATTCCTAGCCCAGAGAGATACAGTACATACGACCATAGGGTGTGGAGAACAGGGCTTCCCGTCCGCTCAGCCGTACTTAAGCCACACGCCGGGAGGTTAGTAGTTGGGTGGGTGACCACCAGCGAATCCCTCCTGTTTGTATGTTTTTGCTTTTTTTTTTTTGTTTTTTGGGAGGGGGGAGGGGGTAGTGGTGAGAAAGTCACTTGTAAGTTGTTGATATGTCGGGAAGTTGGTTGGGTGAGCGCCACGAACATCGGGATTTGGGATAGGGCTGTCGCCGGGTTGAAACCCTAAATACGGAGTAGCTACTCAGCTGTTATATATATAATTGCATCCGAGTGTCCTGTATAGTCCTTCGTATTTGGTATTCTCGGTTACTCTGGTATGATCCCCGTCTGTTCAATCATGTCCGCATCTATATATATACGGAATGGCATTATTCATGCTCATATTTATCACAACAGAGCCCGCGTCGGTGGATTTATTCTACATCAACATTCTACTCTACGCAGAATTAATGACGGACAGGCTATCAAGGTATCACAAGTCCAGGCAGGTATTGCAGATTCACGAGTGGCTAAGTACTATGTTTCGTCGATCAGCAGACCGCGTCTCATGACGGTCGTTGATCAGAGATTCTACAAGGGTAAAGTCGATTATATTGTCCCACGACAGTTTAGATAAAGATAATAACTACTGGGAGGTAAGGTTATAAAGATTTTAGGGCCATTTCCAGTCTTTGCTGGTTTCTGGACCTCTGGATTCTCACAGCTTAATAGTGTTTGGGATTTAAGCTTCAGTGTCTCAGATAATATGGGGAGGTTTGAAGATGATGATGATCACCTTATGATAAGACCTGAGTAGATTACTCTCTGGATCGGGATCTCGGGTCTTAGAATGCAAACACCATAGCAAGTTCTTAAAGATTGTCGTAGTGATGTGTGCTGAAGGCAAGCCATGGTTTTTACGATCTTTTTTCCAATGCACAAGGGATATTCATGGTAGACACTCCTTTCTCTATGTTAACTATTTCACGACAAGCATCTCGACAAATGTTTTGTAGTCAATGAGCCGAACTGCTTCCCTGCTTGTCAAAATGTGAAAATTTCCAATATATCTTCATTTAGTCCATGTATTCTTCTTGGCTAGTCAGACTCTGCTTGACTGGTCTTCATAATATTTCGTGCATGTCGGGGGCGCAATGAGCATTTTGGTGGGAGAGTGTCTGCCTGGTGTCTGAATCAAGGGGCAAAGCTCACAAGGGGGAAAGAGAGGGGGTGGGGCCCAGAGCGAAGAGAATCTCATCCATCCGATATTTTCTTGTGAATATTATCTAATTCATAGTACGAAGTAGGTCACCAAGGTAAAAGGGGAACTCCCCGCGTGGATATTCTATGCAAGTGGGAAAAATTACTCAAAGATATATGGGGAGCTAGCTAGGTAGCCGTCAACATCACCCTGACAAGCAACATCCGGTTTGCCACAGCGTCCCGTTGCCGCTCGCAGTCGGAGAGGAAATGATGATAATCCTTGATTTGATCCAGAGTGCTTTCATGGGAATATTGGGGAAATGAGCGAGAACATGCGAAGTGATTTCCCAGGGAGTGTGCATTCTTGCCGGCCAGAAACAGGGGACGGACGGGAATCAAGGGATGCAGGCCAACTCCCCCTAGCATTCTTTTGGCCTTGAAGCGGCTGTCTCCTTTGGTCTGTCTCCTTTGGTACCCATTCATGGCTTTTCGTTCCATAGTTAATTAAACCAAGCGGTAACCGGGTCAACCGCTTGTCAGGAGAGATCTGGTCCGGGGTACATGGGAAGGGGTCTTGAGGTCGAGAGCGCTTTGATTGAGGTTATGGGGTAGATCTTGTTCTGCTCGTAATTAGTAGTGTATGGATGTAGCTATGTTATTGTCATTAAGAGGAACCATGGTTGGTCAACTGTGGGGATGGTTAGGGGGGTGAGTGGAGTTCCGCATCCGGTAGGTTATTTTGGTAGTTTATTTTGGTCGTCAGGTGAGAGGATCGGTTCAGGCGACAACTGTTCAAGAATCGAGTTCAGTTCTTTTGCAATCTTAAATTGCTGTATTCGGTCTGTCATATGATGGTAAACGATATGATGATCAAATAATGGGGTGGATAGGGGTAGCTTCAGAGTCAGCTGGGAAGCATCCTTTGATAGGCAATTCATACAAATGGAATACGGTGGGAAAAGGAGAAACCAATTTGATGGTCATATTTGGAATGAGCTGGATAGAAGATCAAGAATCAGCTGCAGTTGAGAAGATGTATGTAGTATGTCACGCGGTTGTGCAGTTGGGTAGTAACTGTGTGGGTATTGGCTAGTGAATAGATAGATTGATTCGGAAATATATATCCCACGGCCATGCCTAAAACCGATGGATGTTGCCATTCTACGGAGTACCCCAACCAAATCTATACATAGTAACGGGGCCGATATCAGTGACAGCAAGGTCTGTGGGCCTATCTACAAGCTAGCATTTAAATTGCAGTTTACAATCCCTTGAATCGAGTGTGGGTAAATAAATAGCAAACCACAGAGAGCAGACAACAGTGGTGATTCTGCAAGAAAGGCAGGCCTACCGCGGATTCATCTGCATCCGCAGGCCACGTTCCAGACCCCGAAGCGGCATCGAATGCCTCGGATTGCCCCAGCAATCCAGAGTGGCTGCTTTCGTTGGATTGGGCTGGCTGGAACAGGGCCATCCCTTGGATGAAAACGACGGAACGGCTTCAGGAGCGGAAGTGTCAGGACGATAAGGAGCTGCCAGAGTTCCCATAATCCAGACTGCTTGCGAGTTTGCAAGAGCATCGCCAGTAAGTGAGACTCTTTCTTAATCCGCCACCCGACTCGCAGGGAAGTCGCCATCGACCAACCCCTTCCACCATGCTTTGAACCAGGGGCGCGACCCCGCCAGTTCCGCTGCCCTTGCAACTATTATTACCTCTGCTCCTATCCCTAAGTCCCCGAGTCCCTGAATCCAATCCTGTCCTCCTTTAGACCCTGCGAACCTACCACCTCTGATCGATTCGATAATCCATCCCTCCCGTCCGAAGCCAATATGACCAGTCCACTCAGCCCGACGACAGGTCATCCGCTGATACAGAAGGAAAAGCCCCCCGGCCCTGGCCCTGGCCCGGGGCAGCTCTCCACCGTCCCTGAGACAACCTCCACTCTGTCTTCCCCTGAGGTGCCGTCGGAGGAGTTCAACCCCTGTACGGGGGCCAAGCCGTCCTCGCCCTTTTATCGCCATGCCACCCCGTCGCTTACCATCGAGCGGCTGACCAAGGGCGTCAAAGCAACCGCAACCGCCAAGTACCGCCCGATTGACCTGGAAAACCCCCCCATGTCCAACCGACACGCCGCCGTGTCGGCGACCCATCATCGCGAGTCGAAGCTGTGGGTGCAGGAGAAGCGACACTGCGGATGGATGAAGCGGCTGGGCAAGAAGCAACGCCTGGCGGTGAAAGTGGGCATTGCCATCCTGACGCTGGGCACCATGATCGCGATCGCACTGGGGATTACCGTGGCGGTTGGAGGGGCGGTATGGCGCTCTGATACGCGGCAGGAGGTTATTGGGAGATAGGTGAGACGCTCCTTGGGCTGTTGTTTTTGTTTGTTGGGGAGAAGGATGGTAGATTGACCTGGATGTTTAGTCTATCAAGACTTCTCAACCTACCTTTTTCATTTTTTTTTTTCACCTTGGGAGACAAAACACTACGATTGATGGCGAGGGGACGGCGAGGCAGAATTGTACATGATGCAAGAAGAAATCGGCATCAGCGAGAAGCACCCGTTGCGTTGGGAAGGGGGGCGGAGATTGATTGTACATGCATGCACTCATGGTGGCAAGGAAGACTGTACATAAGACATTGGGTTCATTGGAGTTTACGGGCATCCGGGATCAGGGACAAATTGATGGGTTCGCGTGGTTGTATCATCCGATCTTAGTAGTGGCAGCCTCAGCCTGGTGCCTTGGTGCCTGTATGCCTTGGTGTCTGTTGCGCCCCGCTGCTGCGGCCTGAGAGCCTGGCGCGGCGGGAAGCGGGCGGGCTCACGTGACGCACAACGGGTATAAAACGCCGACGGGCGCGACGATCTTTCCTCCTCTTTTTCTTTTCCTTTCCCATCAAAAAGTTTTTAACAGAACCTGCCACGACCCTCGTCCAGTCTTTCCACGGCGATGTGTTGCCTTCGGTCTACGGACTGATCGGTTCTGGAGAGAAAGCGCTGCAAAGCGATCCTTGATAGGAAGTTTGTCTTTCGTTGGGTCCTCTTCAGTGAGGGCGATGAAAGGTGAATGTCGATAGACGGGAAACATCTCTTTACTCACTATCTTAATTTGATTCCAATTTTGATCACTGTGTGTTGCTTTACCGTATATTGAATTGCTTTTTTTGAGTAGTTGGACCGAACCTTGTCGACGGGACAATGTCCTGGCATTTTTGGCTCTCTTGTAGTGCGAGGGTGGAAATTTTGGACGGGGGCTGATGCTGGATCTGCCAAGCTGCAGAAATTGGCGGACTGGCCGTCGGTCCACATTGACTATACAGACATCGGATTCCAGCCCGAGCGTTTCTGGTGCAACTGCTTCGCAAGTACTTCGCTTGTCCTGGAAGACATGTTACACAATAGTTTCATGCTCATGTTGTTCATCCATCCACCACAGGGAGCCCCATTTCCCCCATCCAAGGGGCCTATGACGCCACGCTCCTGCGTGGATCGAACATGCCGCTCCCTTCGCTTTCCAAGCGGCCAGGAATGCCCAACACGACATCTGGATGGTGGCCACTTGGTCGTCTGAGCACATGGTGACTCTCCATCGCCGGCGGACCTGATCCGACTCATTCCTGGAGGCATTCCGAGCAAAACAATGCCCCCCGACGGCCTGTGTTTGTTGTTCCGGGGCAGCGAGGATGTCAACATACCACGGAAAATGCGCCGCGAGAGGGGGAAATAAAAGGTGCCCCGAGATCCAGGACACCACCATCAGCAGTTTATTCAACAAGGTCCGGTTGATCGTTCGTTTTCGCCAACCTTTCGTTCCTTTCCTTCCGACTGCCCTTTCCCGTGGCCCATTGGCCTTCGTCGCTCATTGATTCAGTTCATTTCGCATTAATATTGTACGGCTGTACCAGCATTTGTAATCAGACACCAAGATGAAGGGACTTCAGAGCGGGATTTCCATGGCGATGCTGGCGGCTGTCGCCAAGGCGCAGGTGATTGGAGGACCGAGTGGAAAGGACATCGGCAACGACGTCGACATCCCTTTCACCAGCACGTTTTCGTCTTCCGTCAAGGAGGATCATAAGGACAACCACGCGGTGGATGTCAACAAGGAGAAGACCGTCGTGGACCCGCCCCATGGGCACCACTGGAAGAGGGAGGAAGTCAAGCAAACCGGCGACGGAGACACCGGTGGCACCTTTTACTGGCCCCAGACGAACGAGCAGTCATACTCGACCAACGACGAGCACAACGGTGATCACCATGTCGACGTGAATGAGGATAATGTCGAGGTCGTGAAGCCACCCGTTCACCCTTATCCTCACCCTCATCCTCACCACATCCCCAGAGGAGGTGCCGACGTGATCAGTGGACCGGGGGGTATCGATACTGGGAATACCGCGGACATTCCGTTCACGAACAAGTTTTCGTCCTCTGTTGACGAGAAGTACAAGGATGATCACTCCGCTACGATCGACAAGGAGAAGACGATCGTTGATCCGAAGCATCACCGCTGGGCTCGCCACCATGGCGACGTGATTGGTGGACCGGACGGTGTCGATACAGGCAACACTGCCGCTATCCCCTTCACCAATGACTTCTCTTCGAGCGTCGACGAGAAGTACAAGGATGACCATTCCGTCGATGTCAACAAGGACAAGACTATTGTCGACCCCAAGCACCCTTGGCTTCACCACTGGAAGAAGGACCACGGCGATGTGATTGGTGGCCCAGACGGTATTGACACTGGCAACACCGCCGATATTCCTTTTACCAGCACCTTCACGTCCAGTGTTGACGAGAAAGCTAAGGATGATCATTCAGTGGATATCAACAAGGACAAGACCATTGTCGACCCCAAGCACCCTTGGCGTCACCACTGGAAGAAGGAACACGGCAATGTGATTGGTGGCCCAGATGGTATTGACACTGGCAACACCGCCGATATTCCTTTTACCAGCACCTTCACTTCGGGCGTGAGCGAGGACTACAAGGATGATCATTCAGTGGACCTCAACAAGGACAAGACGGTCGTCGATCCTGCGCATCCCTGGCGCCACCACTGGGTCAGGGGCGAGGGCCACGATCACGATCACCTTCAGGGCGACGTCATCGGTGGCCCAGATGGTGTTGATACTGGCAACACTGCATCCATTCCTTTTACCAACACTTTCACATCCGGCGTGAGCGAGGACTACAAGGACGACCATTCAGTGGATGTCAATAAGGACAAGACGGTTGTTGATCCTGCGCATCCCTGGCGCCATCACTGGGTGAGAGGCGAGGGCCACGATCACGACCACCTTGAGGGCGATGTCATCGGCGGTCCAGGTGGTGTTGATACCGGCAACACTGCCGCCATTCCTTTTACCAGCACCTTCACATCAGGTGTGAGCGAGGATTACAAGAACGATCATTCTGTTGATGTCAACAAGGACAAGACGGTTGTTGATCCTGCGCATCCCTGGCACCACCCTTGGGCCCGGGGCCATGGTGAGGATCACTTCGAGGGAGATGTCATTGGCGGACCCGATGGCATCGATACAGGGAACTCCGCAATTATCCCGACGACGAACAGCTTCTCGTCTAGCGTCAACGAGGACTATAAGGATGATCATTCTTTGGATGTCAACAAGGATAAGACAGTTGTCGATCCGGTGCACCCTTGGCACCACCCTTGGGCCCGGGGCCATGGCGAGGATCACTTCGAGGGAGATGTCATTGGCGGGCCCGATGGCATTGATACGGGCAACTCCGCGATCATCCCAACAACTAACAGCTTCTCTTCTAGTGTCAAGGAGGACTACAAAGATAACCACGGCGTTGACGTCAACAAGGACAAAACAGTTGTCCCCGGACACCTCGGCCCGTGGCACCACATCCGCGGGGAGCCTTTGCACGGGAAGGTGATTGGAGGTCCTTCAGGAATTGATACTGGAAATACTGCTGATATCCCCTTCACGAACACGTTTTCCTCTTCGGTCGCTGAATCGGCACAAGACGACCATTCCATTGACGATGACTTCAAGGGCACTCTTGTCCGCCCGCATCACTTTGCGCGTCGGGGTGGGATCTCTGGCCCCTCTGGCATCGATACAGGGAACACCGCGGACATCCCTTTCACCAACACATTCACCTCTACTGTCGATGAAGCTTACAAGGATGATCACTCGCTTGATGCTGATGTGAAGGATACTGTTGTTCGACCCCCGGCACACCACCACTGGAAAGCTCGCGAGGCGCCGGGACACCACGAAGACCATGAAGTGATCGGTGGGCCGTCTGGTATTGACACGGGGAACACTGTGGATATCCCTTTTACGAACACATTCTCGTCGTCTGTTGATGAGGCGTACAAGGATGACCACTCGTTCGATGCTGATGTGAAAGACACGCTTGTTCATCCTGGACACCACTGGAAGGCCCGCGAGGAACCCAAGCACCATGAAGGCGTCGAGGTGATTGGTGGCCCATCTGGTGTGGACACCGGAAACACGGCCGCAATTCCCTTTACGAACACATTCTCGTCTTCAGTTGACGAGGCATACAAGGATGACCACTCACTCGATGCCGACGTGAAAGACACCCTTGTTCATCCAGGACACCACTGGAAGGCTCGCAAGGAACCGGAGCACCACGAAGACCATGAAGTGATCGGTGGGCCATCTGGTATTGACACGGGGAACACTGTGGATATCCCTTTTACGAGCACATTCTCGTCTGACTACACCGGTTCCTACACGGACGACCACTCCCACACCTACAACGGCCATGTCATCGGTCACCGCCGCGCGGATGACTCCCTCATCAGCGGGCCTTCAGGGGTAGACACCGGCAACTCAGCTTTCATTCCTTTCACGAATACCTTTTCGCAAGATACCACTGAGTCTTCGACCGACGATCATTCTGTCACGGGGAACTTCGACGAGAATGTCGGCGGTCACCATCCCCATATTGACTCTCGTCCGCATTATACGCCCCGGCACCGGCCCCGGCCCGGCCCCGCTCCTCCTGTCCATGAAGCCGCGGAGCCGCCTGTCCCTGCTCCTGAGACTCATGCGCCGACTCCCCCTTCTCATCAGACCCATGCGCCATCTCCTACTCCGCTTGAAGGGCCGCCTGCTAAGCCCACTCACCAGGCTCCGGCTCCTCCTGCGCCTACCCATGAAGCTCCAGTTCCTCCTGCGCCTACTCATGAGGCACCCGCCCCACCTACCCATGAAGCCCCGGCTCCTGCGCCCACCCATGAAGCTCCAGTTCCTCCTGCGCCTACTCATGAGGCGCCCGCGCCGCCTACCCACGAAGCTCCGGCTCCTGCGCCCACCCATGAAGCTCCAGTTCCTCCTGCGCCTACTCATGAGGCGCCTGCTCCTCCAGCCCCTGAGGAGGCCTCAAACCAGGACAAGGTGCAGGAACCCGCGCAGACATCCAGTTGCTCACCAACGGTGCATGAGGTTGTGCGCACGTTGACCCACACCCTCCCTGTCGAGCCAACCGAGAGTTCTGAGGCCCGCCCTGAGATGGTTGATACACCCGCTCACAGCACCCCTGCCCATGTCACCGAAGCGGCGACTGTGTCAAGCAACACCCCGGAGAAGGGCCACCAGAAGCCCACTCAGACTGCTGCGCACTCCGCTCCTACCCACAGCACCCCGGTTGAGGGTGTGGACCCCGTAGCTCACACCACGCCTGTGCACAGCGCTCCGACAGAACACCCCCAGAGCGCTGTCCAGTCCTCCCCAGCGCACAGTGCCCCGTCTCATGTCTCCGAGCCGAGCAACCCGTCTTCTCCCTTCAGCTCCAATCTCGAACAGATCCACCACGTCCCCGGCAGCGAGGCATCATCCGCAGCGCAACCTCCCCAGGCAGTCACCTCTGCAGCCTCGGCCCCCGCGCCCACGGAGCCCGTATTCATGGATAGCATCGCATCCACCATCACCGTCCAGGAAGCCTCCACGTTACACATGATCCCCGTGTACGTGCCGGTCCCATCTGCGACCTCCCAGAGCGATGCCGCCCACAGCAGAATCCTGGATATGCCCAGCGCCCGTCCCAGCGGTGTCGATGCCTTCCAAACATCCATGCAATACAGCGCGCCTTCCTCCACCCCCGCCCATGGCATCATGTTCACCGGCGCCGCAGCCCCCATGGCTCCCGCCAACGGCCTCTTCCCTATCATCGCCGGTGTCGTGGCGCTTTTGGCCATGATTCTGTAAACCGCTTGCCAAAGCCTTCGGTCGTTTTCTACAGAATGCTTCTCATGTTTAATTTCTGGTTCGCCTGGAATCTGTCAACTTAATGACTAGTCACTCGTTTCGGGGAAGCGGCGCCCGTTATACTTTTGTATTTTACGTTTTTCATTCTTCTTAATTCATTGTCGATCTATCTTCCTTCCTAATTTCAGTTACTAGCTCCGATACTGGTTCTTGTAGTCTTGGCGTAGGTACAGGTTTCCTGCCCTCGTAGGGCCATTCATTACTTGTCTAACTCAACCCGAATCCCTTGATCAACATTAATCCAGCGAATTATCTACCAAGTGCCATGTAATCTCGACCCTTTGCACCATCAATTCCCAAGACCCGGAGTAGGTAGAACCCGGCAGCAATTCACCACCCCAACATCAGATCAGATCTATCGTCGGAAGATCTCAATAAGAACTTAGAGCACTCCTACAAGACCTCATCCATCACCTACCTGCACGAATACGCAGCCAGTTAAACTCTATATTTATGTCTATATAGGCCCATGTCCATGCATGCAAATTCCCCTCCCTCGTAAACCAAACTAATCATCCCCCGGACAAACAACAATATCATACCCGGTTCACGAGCGCTCAGATGTTCAGATAGCTACTTACCTACCACATCACATCTAGAAAGATAGATAGATCGATAGTCATCATCAACGAGGAGAAAGGAAACCCCCCACACACACCCTATCTCTAGAGAGAATGGGTGGGCAGGTAAGTACATCGATAATGCGCGGAGGAAGTAAGCCGTCTGTCCAACGGCAAACCCACCCACCCTGCCCACGCCACGCACTGTATTGTATGCCCATCGATGGCCATCCATCTGCTGCTGTCTGCTCGATTGCAACCAAATCAAGTTCAAATTCCAGTTCCGCACTCCGGAGAACGAGGTGCTTCGTCGCTGGGGGATGGATGTTCACCTCACCGAGATCATGAAAACCCGTAGAGATGAACGGAATACTATCGAATGATGATGCTGGTGTTTAGTCTCCCCCCCGTAATCATCATCATGTGAAGATCATTACAAAGTACACACATACTACACAGTATGCATATCATGAAGTTGGCCGAAGACGATCTACACAATAATAATCTAGACTCCAGACCTCCCAAGAAAAGCAGCGCCCTGATTGGCCGGGCTGGCATCCGGGCGCTGAGTCAGCCACCCTAGTTATCCACCCTATCCATCCATCCATCCTATGACGAGAACAAGATGTAATCCAATAGATGACCCAGTGAGATTGACAGGTCTCGCGGCAAAGAGTGGGGTTGAGCGGTGCCGGTGGATAACAATGACCAGGATGCGTCGGTACAAAGTACAAGGTACGGTCCCACTCCTATCTGCGGATGGGCCCAAGTCAGTGCGGACTGGCCGGATGCCCTGACGGATGTTATTTGCCATCGAGCAAGGTCGAGAACCAGTGAAAGGTTCTAGAAATTGGGTGGTTGTTGTTTTCATCATCGATGTGCTCATATCTCTTGCTGTGAGGAGCCCCTGATATCATACCTTGTCATGGACCCGGGGTCGATCTTGATGGGGATGGTGACATCACATTTAGATCTGTTCTGTTCTGTCTGCCACGGCTAGCTGGGTATATAAACCCGTTAAGACTGCATGTGTTCTTTTCTATATCTAGATCAGATCAGATCAGAACAGATCCAAGCTATCTTTCCATCTATCGAACAAAACTCTCATATTCCACAAGAACAACCTTCTACAAATTTCAAAAAAATCACAAAGAAATACCTCCACAATGCCTGACCCTCACCAAGGTGGCTCCCTCTACGACATGGCGGCGAAGGGCACTCGCATCCCCAACGATGCCGGCCTGATGAACACAATCCCCTCCGTCCCTCGTCCAGACCAAAGATCCGAAGACGACGGGTTTGACAACTACGGCGTCGCCCACGCATCCTCCGCCTTCGCCGCCGACAACGCCACCGACATGCCCCGCAGCGGCAGGGACATGGGCGCCACCGGTGAAGTCATCACCGGCACCGGAAACACCTTCCCCGCGCAAGGCGAGTCCAAGAGAAACCAGACCGGCGCGAACTACCCTGGTGGTAAGGGCCAGTCGAGAGGTTGAACATTCCGTCCGTGTATGACCGACCGACCGACCGGGTGTGGTTTGCTGTCGAGGATGAGAATGAACATCAACATCAACAACATCATCAAGAAGAAGAAATGAGTAAATGATAGGAGAAGAGGCGTATCCGGTATACGCTTGAACGAGTCATGTATAATAGATGATCGAGATCGAAATTATATTATTCTGTACAATAAGATGTTTTTTTTTTTCAAGAGTTTGATATGCAATGAACCTTCTATTATAAGGTTAGCCTTTAACCTATAAATCCCCGGTAGATCTCGTCGAGGACATCGCGCTTCCGCTTGCGGTCCACTCGTTCGGCCTCTTCGGCTTCGTCGGGCTCCCCTTCGGGTTCCCGCGATACCCAGCCGCGGATGGTCCCGTCGCCGTGGGCGGAGAACATCTCGAGGCCCTCTCCGGATGCACCGTTGCCGCGCCAGACCAGGGAGTTGATCCGCGCCGCGCTCAGAGCACTCGAGCGCCCTTGGAACTGCTGAGGTCCGGTCACGAGGCCCGGAACCCGGAGGAGCTTGATGAACGCACCCTCGCGGAGCTCAAACATGAAGACTTCCCCGCGGTCGTCTCGCTCGTTGAAGTTCGGCCACACCAGCGTCTCCTGTCCCGGGGCGACCATGCCCCGCGGCAGAACCAGCGGCGCCCGTTCGGCCAGATACGAGGAGACGCTGTTCCGCACTCTTGGGCCGAAGTGGACGAGCGTATTTGCGCCCGTTCCTGCATCCCAGACTCGAATCCGCGCGTCTTGTCCCGCGGTTACCAGGTGCGTACCGGTGGAGGTCCATCGCACGCCCGTCACAGCGCCGTTGTGCGCTCGGACGTGCGGCGAGAATGCGGGGCGACTCTCGTAGGATGGAGGAGCGCTTGATGGATGCACCAGGCCGACGGCGTCATCCATGTCCAGGGCCGCAATGGCCGAATTGTGTCCTCCGCGACGGATGTCAAAGAGGATCACCCGGTTGTCCACGGAGGCAGACGCCAGGATGTGCGGCTGATGCGGGGCCCATGACACGGACAGGACCGATGCCTCGTGTCCTGGGAGACCGTGTGTAGATAGCCCGGAACGTAGATCGAGGAGTCGGACCGGCTTCTCCGAGGTGCCTACGGCAATCAGCAGCGGGGATGCAGGGTGAGATGACATCGAGTGCGCGTAGGGTGTGCAATCCATGTTGAAGGTATGCACGGGCGTGATGGCCCCTGGTGCCAGGGCCGAGAGCTTGAGGGTGCCATCGTATGACGTCGTCAGAATGGTCGACGGCGTGGGGTCGAACGGGTATATAGAGACGGAGGTGATGGCCCGCGTGTGGGCATCTTCATGCGAGGCTTTACTGACCGACGCAACCGACCGATGCACGTGGGTCAGATCCGAGCCTCGCGTCTCCAGATCCCACAGGTGGACGGACGGATCGGCGCCTCCGGAGACCATGCTGTCGACCGTACGTTAATACGTGCTAGAACGGAGGGCCGCGAACATACAATCGGCCATCGTATCGGTCTATGGCGAGGACGTTGACTCCTGATTTATGCGCAAACAGCTCGTCATCTAAGCCGAGCTGTGCGTCTGCAGCTGGAGAGCCATCCCGAGTCGCCGAATTCGCTGGATCTGTATGCGACGAGAAGCGGATGCCAGGGGCGGGCTCTAGGTTTTGGATGAGTCGGGAAGTCTGGGCGACATGGAAGGTCGACGGACTGATGGACCCGAGAGCCCTATTGAGGAGATACGAATTCATTCATCAGACGGGGCCGTCTTGGTGGATACGGAGGGGGGATGTCGAGGATGTCGAGGAAGGTGTGTGCGATGCGTGGTGGATGACTGCCCCCGGCCCCATGCCGGTCACCTGATCCCCTCCCCAGGGCCCGGGTGAATGTTCCGCCGCGCCCACGCGGGCCTGAAAATCGAGGCTGGCACGCCGGAAATCGATGGATCAACAATTCCCAACTCAGGGAACTGCCAGCTCCCGGATGCTTTCGCACGGGCACCCCTAGTCAATCCGGGACTATGTCCTACGGCAAATCCCTTGCAGTGAGCCAGGACTCCTTCCTTAAGCCTCCCAAGCGCGACGCCGAGGTCGAGGAACCGGAGGTCGAGTTCGAGTTCGAGGCCAAGAAGCAGAAGCGCCAGGCCACCGTTTTCGATGCCGTTGCCGGTGCGTTTCTCACCTACCACTTATCCCCCGCGATCGGTCTGACTGTGTCTAGGTCGGGTGAATTACCACGGGTTTCTCCCAGCCGCACCGTATGCCTCCAAATACCGCGATACCGCATCGTCCAGCTCCCGTCCTGTCCGTCCGGAGGAGGTCCTGTTCCGTCGACAGAACGCGCCGACTCGCTATGAGGAGAATGACTTCTACTTTGCCCACGAGACTCTGCCGCCCACCTGTCCGCTGCCCACGTCCGAACTGCTGGGGGCGCTGCACGCCTACTCGGCCGATTTCTACGAGCGCGCGACGATCGACCAGGGTCGCGACGACATTCACAGCATGGACGAGACGGCCCTGATTGCCATGGGAATACTGCTGGAGGAGATGGCAAAGGAGTCGCTGGGTGAAACCGGAGACATGGTGTTGGTGGAGGGCGAGGAAATCCCGCCCGGTGAGGCTCGATTGCCCGGCAGAGTGGGCAAGATGGGTCGGAAGATGGGCCGGAAGAGAGCCAATACCGGACAAAACGATGTCATGCCCAGCTCGGGGGATGATACCGAAGATGTGTCCCAGAAGAGACGATCCAAGAGGCGCAAGCTGGGGCGGAGAGACTGGAGAGCCTCCACCGACATGGACACCGAGGCCGACGAGGGACCGTCAGTCTGGTGAAACCGCTTCGCGTCGTACAATACCAGCCACCCTTGCATTCGAATCTAGATCATGAAATGCATACAGGCTCGCTGGGCCCCGCGCATGCCCTCCGCGTGAGGAGTCGACATAAGGAAATGAAACACACCGGCCCGCCCGAGAAACAAGCTACGATGAGTGAATGCTTGGTGTCAGAATACGAGCCATCATTCTCCGACCAGCCACCAACAAGGGCTCGTGCGTCAATCATGATTCCTTGGCGCAATCCATCTGATATCATACGCCGCATGTGAGGCGCCCTTTGTCCGGAATCTGCCCGCATATTCGCATTGTCTCAAGCCAGCTCGCCAGAACCGGACCAAGGTTCGCACGTTCAGCCCGATTGCCTTCCGCACGGCGCAGCCAAGAGCTTGGCCGTGCCTCTGGAAAGTCTCCGCCCGGCTGGGCAAGAGCATGTTCGGTCCCATCTCCACACCATATCATATTCGATCCATCGTCCCCGGGTTTCTATTTCTTGGGTGAAGTCGATCAGCGTCGAATGCCGCCCATCTCGGAATCTTCGGAATCAATGGATATCGTGGGGTTAGCAACCAACCAGGTTTGATGTCCTTGGCACATCAACTTCTTGTATCATCACGATTGTCAGCCTGCCTGGTCGGACTCGCTCATTCGAGGGCGAAATTGCCTCGTCTGCATGCCAAGATGCCACGTGCTCTGTGCGATCCATCCAGGCTGCCATGATTGAGTCGTCTTCATAGCCAGATACAGTAACTCAATACCAAACAACCACTCCGGTTGATAACCTAAGAACCGACTATCTTCGTGATGTGTAATTTGTGGGACCGGGATTGGACTGTGCGGCCCGCTGGGTCGAGGCTTAGACTGTAGTGTTCAGTGTCCACGTACCCTGGCCCCTATCGGCACTAGCATTTCCGTTTTCGGGATTGGATTGTGGTGTGCTATTTCTACGGAGTATGTATGTACTATCTAGATAGGCGTTAGGCACACCACAATGTCACTCTTGGCTTTCTTGGCATGCTTGACGTCGACCTACGTCTCCATGATAAACTTACTAGTCCCTACCATGATAGATAGTATTGTAATGACATCCCAACCCCCCAAGAACGGTATCTTCTCCCTACCCGTCCACTCTCTACATCCACCATAACCTAACTAACCTACCCCCCAACTCCAGACGATATGATATGCAGTCTCCTCACCAACCCAACCATCTCCAGGTTCAGGTATGTAGGCATGTACAGTACCTACCTGCCATCGCCCGGACACCTGCAGCGGTGGCTTATAGGGCTGATGACTTGACCCAACAGCGTACATCGCCAAGAACGGTCGTCGATATGATATTGCAGTCAGAGTGCCACTAGTTTCTCGGTGGCATTGTTGCCGTCGCCCTATCGGTATGTGTTATCCCGAGTAACCGTCCGTCTCTCTCTCTGAGCCGTTAGTGGTCTACTTCATGCTCGAAATTCCCTTCCAGGTCTCAGAGGGCCGCGCATCGTCGTTGCCACTCGTTACGTAGTCGACTGCGTGTATATGTGGTCTGGTTGGACTGATGTCGTGCTACCGGCATCGGTCGTCCTCGGGGGACTAGGATAGTTAGTCTTTGATGGTTTTATTGCGCATTTAGGCAAAAGGTGCTTGCTAATCGACGGACAGGGCTGAGAGTGTCGGTCAGGAAGACAAGTGTCAGAGTGAGCCAAGAAGGGTCAGGGGTTGGCTGACTGGCAGATGGGAAAGAGGATGACAGACAGGGGTCCAAGCCAGACCGAGGATGTTTGACAAAGAAGTCACCCACTCACCACTCACCACTCACCACACATACTACCGAACGGGGGTCTGTCCGTGCGTGATAGTAGCAGACAGACAACAGCAGACAACAGACAGCAGGCAGTGATCGACTGCCTTCCTGCCTAGAAGTCGGAATGCTCCTGCCCATAGGACATAGCCCTACCGGGATGTTCCATCCTGGTCAGTAGGAGTGGTAGTGGGGAGAATTGGAGGCATTCGGGACTAAGTAGATACTGCGGGCACCTGACCTGCTGTCACCGTCTTCCAGCGTCTCCCCGACTTGACTGGCTCTCTCCCCCGATCCCGGCTCAGTGTACTTCCCCCTCCCCCCATCATCTCCGAGTTTCGACCGTGATTTCCCCCATCACCCCTGGTCAAACACACATCTACCTACTTACTATCTATCTATCTATCTATCTACATCCAGATCCAGATACAGAACCCCCTCACAACTAAGGTACTCACAGTCACAGTCATTGTCACCCTCACCGTCACCATCACCAAAATGGTACGTCCTCCCACCACAACCAATCGCCAACCCCCGCCCATCATCCCATCTCCCATCACCCCACCTGCTACACTAGTGCCAGGGCCCCAAACCAACCCTCCCAATCCATCCCAATCCATCCATCTACATCTAGATACACCACTAACCAATCCTATCCTTCCACCCCCAGCCCCCCAAACTCACCAAATCGGCCAAACAGGCACTGATCGTCACCCACCTCCGACAGACCGGCACCTGCCACACCCTCAAGGAGCTGGAGAAGACCCTCCCCGGCGTGGCCTCGATCCACGGACTGCAGGTCAAAGAATACCTGCAGGAGCTGGCGGACGAGGGGCGCGTGCGGGTGGAGAAGATCGGCAGTGGGAACTGGTACTGGTGCTTTGGGGCGGACGAGGTGCGGGAGCGCGAGGAGAGGGTGCGCGGGTTGCTGGGGGAGGTGGAACGGTTGGAGAGGGGGATTGGGGAGATGGAGGGAAGGGTGGAGGGGAGGAGGGGGAGATGGGGAGGGAGGTGGAGGAGTATGAGAAGGGAGGAGAAGGAGGAGGAGGAGGGTTGGAGGAGGAACGACAAAGGTTGGTGGAGAGGAGGGACGGGCTGGAACGGGAGGTGAAGGGCCTGCAGGCCCAGCTGAGGGGGTTGGAGACGGGGACGGGGATGGGGATGGGGCCGCAGGGGAAGAGCGTCAGTCGGCTGAGGGGGGAGATTGAGGAGGCCAAACAGCGGGCTCAGATGTGGACGGACAATATCTACGTGCTGGAGGGGTATGTGGGCAGGCTGTCGGGGGGGGATCGCGAGGTGTTGCGGGCAGTGCAGCGCGAGTGCTATGGGGAGGAGTTTGTAGAGGAGGAGGGGGGGTTGCGGGAGATATTCTGATGATCGGAATATTGACAGATTGACAGGTCTACTCCGTCCTTCCATCTATCTACGGAGTCGGTAGGTGGTAAAAAAAATTAAAAATAATAATAATAATAATAATACGAGGGAAGAACAAAAAGAAAAGGAAAAGACAGCCGGTGGGCCAATGGAGGGAAAGTGGGAACTGCCGAGCCACGAACGGCCCAAGAGAAGCTTGACTGCCTTGACGCGCCTTATCTCGAGTCTGTCATTCATTCCTCCATCATTCATCCTTCCCCTTTCCCTTTCCCTCCTCTTCTCTCTTTCTCTCTCTGTCGACTTTCCATTTCCATTTCTAGACTGGAGACTGCACTCTAGACTGCTGCACCATCCTTCGTATTGACTGCCTTTTCTGTTCGGAACTCCGTCTAGTTCCCAATTCCGAAGTTCCGTGGCGCCCATCCTCCCTCCGTCCGTCTCTCCCTCCCTCATCCTCCTCACTCACACTTCAAACCACCTCCCCATCTCATCCCCTTCTCTTTCCCCTTCTCCTCCGTGTCTTCCCCCCCCCCCCCCATTTCACCCTCGAAATGATGCGGCTAGGTCATCTTCACGCTTAATCCTCGACTTCCCCCCCCTCCCCCTCCCCACCCCCCACTCTCTCTCCCTCATCCTCTTCTCCCTTCCTCTCGATCGATCGAGCCAGCCTCCCTCTCATCCTCCGACCCTCCCCCCCACATCCTTCAGGAGACCTTCCGGCATACGACTAGTCTCCCTCCTCCCCTCTGTCCCTCAACCTGGCCGCCTCTCGAGTCTCGACCTCACCCATTGCCTCCGCGTCCGTGCTGCTACGCTGGTCCGGACTGTCGCGTCGCTGTCGCTGTTGCCTTCGCGCCCGACGCCCAGATCGGGCCGGATTGATTACTGCTGCTGCTGCTGCTGCGGCTGCTGCGGCTGCGAACTGGACAGTGGACGGAGGCACGGAGAATTTCCAACTGTCTCGATCGCATTCCGGACATCTCCCTTTTTGTCAGCGCGCCGCCCCTTGCGTCCGCCGATACCCCGACTCCACGCTGTCCGTCCGCTCCGTCCTCGTCGTCACTTGACTTGCACTGTTCACTGAATCGGAAGTGACGCTGCCAGTTGAGCCGCCGTCCCCCTCTGCCTCCGCCAGCTACACACCCCCCCTCCCCTCCCCCCCTCCGACCCCTCTCCTGATCCTGCCCTGACGTGGTCTTGGCTCTATCCCTGGCTCTCGCTCACGACTCGACCGACTCGCTACCTCGCCCGTCTGCTCTCCGTTGCCTGGCGCCGCACGCCTCGTGTATGGATTGGGCGACGCGTGTGTCATGTCCGTCAACCCTCTCCCCTCCCAACCCTCCTCGCCGCTCGGTCGGAATCGCAGCTCCCTCCTCTCCAAGTTTCGCTCCCAGCTCGGCCAACGGAACCGCAGCATCACCGACTACTACATCGAACCCGACGACCCCTGGCGCTCCTACTTCCCGGGGGATGTGATCTCCGGCACCGTCGTCCTCACCGTCATCCGCCCCGTGCGCATCACACATCTGGTTGTCAATCTACATGGCTTCGTCAAGGTCTTCAAGAACACCGTGCCCCCGGGCGAAACCGCCCCGGACCTGGGGTTTCTGGGCCCCGGGCGCGGGCGGCGCGGCGCAGAATACCTGGGGAACGGGCTGTCGACACTGTTCGAGGACGAGGTGGTCCTCTGCGGGGAAGGTCGGCTCAAGGAGGGGATCTACAAGTTCCGCTTCGAGATGTCCTTTCCCCCGTATGCGCTACCCAGTAGCATCAACGTGGGTGGCTCAACGTCGCGCTAATGGTCTGTACTGACGATTCTTTTGCACTAGTTCGAACGCGGCACGATTTCCTACATGCTTACGTCCACCCTGACCAAACCGACGACGATCAATCCCACCACCACCTGCCGACGACGCGTCAACGTGTTAGAAAACATCGATATCGCCCCCTTCCCTCCTCCCAAACCGCGCGTGGTCACCCTCGAACCGGTCTCTCGCCGGTCCAAGTCCAAAGCCAAGGCCAAGTCGACCGGCTCGGACGCGCCCGACTCGCTGTCGCTCGAACCCGTCGCCCAGGGCGCGAACGGCGGCGACCGGCCCCCGCTCAGCCCGGCCCCCAGCAATGTCAGCTCGTCAAGCCGGCTCAGCAACAGCAGCCAGAGCTTCCACGTGCCCAGCGACCCGAGCTCGTCGACCAGCACAGGGATGCGCAATAGCGAGGTGCGGAGCATTACGCCGTCGGTGACGGACAAGACGATCATGGCGAAGGCCGAGGTGCTGCGCGCGGGCGTGCTGCCGGGCGATACGCTCCCCATCAACGTCACGATCAACCACTGCAAGCAGGTGCGCAGCGCGCACGGCATCATCGTCACGCTGTACCGGCAGGGGCGCATCGACCTACACCCGGCGATCCCGATCGGCAAGTCGGGCAACGGCAAGAAGCCCGTGTACGAGGACTACTACCCACGGTCGCGAACAGGGCTGGGCGGACTGACGCTGGGCAGCAGCCGCACGATGGGAGTGTTCCGCAAGGACCTGACGCAGACGTTCGCGCCGCTGGTGGTGGACCCGGCGAGCCTGACGGCGCTGGTCAAGACGTCGATCCGGGTGCCGGAGGACGCGTTCCCGACGATCACGCGCACGCCGGGCAGCATGATCAACTTCCGGTACTACGTGGAGGTGGTGGTGGACCTCCGGGGCAAACTGACGTCGCCGGACCGGTTCCTGCCGCGGTTCAACCTGGTGTCGTCGGGCGGCAACTTCTCGTCGAGCGGGCAGGTGCTGAACCCGGCAGACGTCAACAGCAGCGCGATCACGGCGAACTGGGCGGGCAACATCCTGGACACGGACCAGATCCGGCGCGAGAAGGGGGTGGTGGCGGTGCTGTTCGAGGTGGTGATCGGGACGCGGGACTCGCGCCGGGGGGTGAAGCCGGCGGAGCCGTCGCCGGGGGACCATGCGTCCAATCATCCTGAGGGCGAGGCGTGGTCGGAGCAGAGCCCGACCCCTGCGGACGTCGACTACCCGGCGCAGGAGGACTACGGGTTTCCGCAGGAGACGTCGCACTGGCCGGAGTACGGAGGACAGGAGTATCCGGACGCGCAACCGTACCACTCGCTGGGAGAGATGGTGTCGACGCCGGAGGAGCCTGGAGACGAAAAGAGCCGGTTACGACGGGCGGAGCAGACGCTGCTGCCCAGCCGGCCGCCGGACGATGCCGGGGTAGGGCCGTCGGAGGCGATGCCGACGGCGCCGGTGCTGCCGGAGGACGACCACATCAACGACTACCACCATCTGCCGTCGCGGGAGAACGGGACGCCGCGGGCGGTGGTGTCAGCGGAGTCGGTGCAGACGGTGGTGCCGGGGAGCAGCACGATGGCGGCGGACACGGGGGAGGACAAGCAGGAGCTGGAGCGCCAGCGGCTGATGACGGAGGCCAGTGCGCCGGAGGACGATGCGTGCCCTCCTGGCATGTCTGTGTCGGTACCCAGCCTGTCTGCCCCTGGGATTTCCTTACCCGGATTGATTGTTCCCGGACTATCTGTGTCTGGGATGTCAGTCCCTGGCGTCTCCGTGTCCGTGTCCGCGTCCGCGCCATCATCCCCCGGGCCTGCCCCGGAGTCAGACGCGCCGACCGCGCCGGTGTTCCACGACGAAGAAGGCGACCACCAGTTGGTGGGCAGTGCGGCGCGCGGGGATGAGTCGCTGCCGCGGTATCAGCGGTAATAAAAGGAAGAAATGTTGCGTCTGATCTTATTGCATTGCGGGATAGCGGGAGATACCATATATGTTGGTCATTGGAGTCATTTGTTTGTTTGATATAGCCATAGAAGTGTACAGATTTATTCTGATTTGGGATGATTATCCGTATGATTGTAGTGACAGTGACAGACGGTGACAGGGTGATTGGGGTGATATTAGTGATTGGGTGCCTGATAAGTCCGTGATAAGACGGGCAGATAGGCATTGTACTAGTGGCCAGTCTGGTTCTGGCCAGTTCTGACACCCGCCGCGCCAAGCCGCAACCACAATTTCCCTTCCGATATCTCACCTCCTCTTCTGTCTTCTCTCGCGCTCTCTCCTCCTCACACCCCCAATCTCCTGTCCAGCACAGCACCGCACCGCACCGCACCGCACATCCCCAGATCATCCATCCTACGCAGCCCACCGGGCCGGCCTCTGCAACCATGGCCTTCCGCAACAGCTCGTTTGCGACCTTTCTGATCGTCTGCCGTGAGTCCATCCATCCATCATCACCCTCCTATCCCCAATCCCATCCCCCAATCCCATCCCCCCTCCCCTTCTCCCCCCAAAACCACCACCACCACCACCACCAACAATTAATTTTTTTTTTAAAAAAAAAACAGCTGTATCCTTCTTCCTCGGCCTCATCTTCAGCCTCTTCCCCTACGACTACCCCATCCTGTGGTCCCCGACCCCCACCCCACCCACGCATTTCGACTACTTCGAATCGCACCTGCGCTTCCTGCACGCCTCCCCCCCGCTGATCCCCCGCATCCTGCACATCGTCATGTTCCTCGGCCTAGCCGGCCTGATCATCAAGCTCTACCGCCCCAGCGAAAGCAACATGCTCTTCGACGGCGCCAGTCTGGTCCTGTACATGTGCGGCGTGACGGTGTATGTGGCGAATGTGGTCAAGGGGCTGAGGCTGGTGAGTCGGGGGGTTTATGGGGATGAGTTGGCCGCTTCGGTTCCTGACGCTGGGAGTGGGAGTGCGGGTGCGGGTGCGGCTGGGGAGGCGGAGGATGGCCAGATTCTGAATCGCGAGGACTCGTTGAAGGTGTTGGCGGCTAGTAATACGATTCTGGCGTTGGTGTTGGTGGGCGTTTTGGTGTTGCAGGCGGGTCAGTGGTATGCGGAACGGAAGGAGGCGCAGGAGGTGGAGAGTTTTAGGAGGAAGGAGAATGCTTCGGTTTCGGCTTCTTCGAAAGATACTAAGGATGTTAAGGAGGGGGAGAAGGAGAGGAGGGAGAAGAAGAGGAATTGATTGATTGGTTGGCTTGGTCTGCTTTTGTTTTTTTTTTTTTTTTTGGGGTCTGTCTGGGTGGTTGAGAGGGAGGGGAGATGAGGAGGATACGTTAGGATCTGATACGATACAACCACAACCAACAGCAGATGGATCCTTATGGATGGTTAAAGAAGGTTGAACAGACAGCATACATAGTATCTTAAATGAACAGTCAGTCACAGTCAGTACTCAAATCACAGACACGCTGGGATATCATCGATGTATAGTAAGTAAGTCAGTAAGTAAGTAAATACATAAGTCAACGCTAATCAATCCACCCTCCCTCCCTCCGTCCAAACAAACCCCTACATATGCACCGGCCCGAACGAGAACGGACTACGCGGCAGGTCCGGCGTGCGCGGGCTCAGCGCCTTCGCGAACAGCTCCTCGCCCGACTCCGCGCTGCCCGTCCCGATACTTATGCCCATCCCCATCGTCGCGAACCCCGTGTCGTGCGCCGCGTTCTGCTGCTCCTGCACCGACTCAGGCGGGTAGTGCACCACCGTCCGCAGGCTATCGGCCAGAGACACCGGACTGGGGTGCATGCCGTGGAAGGAGTTGAACGAGGAGACGGCCACGTCGGGCGACGCCGGGGAGAGGAGATGGCGGGCGGCGGCGGCGGCGGCGGCGTGGTGGTGGTGGTGGCCTGTATCTTCATGTCAGCACGGGCGTAGTGGCACTGGCAACGGCGATGCAATTTGCAACTCGGATCTAGAGCGAAACGGAAGGCATGCCACGCAATTCCAAGGGAAGAATAAAACATCTTACCGTCCTTCGGCGACAGCTCCCGCTCGCTGGTCTGCAGCTTCAACCCCTTCAGCTTATCGCCCAGCTTGCCCCCACCACTACTACTACTGCTCGGCGACACCGGGGTCGCTGGCCCCATCGGATAGTGCGGATCGGGATGGCCCTGGCTCAGCGCACGCTGGCGCTCCGCCGACAGCGAAACGCCAAAGTTGGACTCGATCCATTCCTTCTCCTGCAGGGCCATGTGCAGGGCGATGCCCTCTGCGTTCGCGCGACACTCGTGGTTGATCTCGTGCTCGAGCACCTGCAGGCGCTTCTTGGCCCAGATGGTGTGCAACACGCCCTTCTTGCCGGCGGAGCGGCCGTCGGCGCCCAGCTCGGGCGGGAAGATGGCGGGCAGCGGGTTGAGGTGGAGGGGGTCCGGCGGGGAGGCGGCGGCGGCGGGCGGCGGCGGCGCGGTGGAGGGCAGTTCGTACGAGAGCGTGACGGCCGGAGGGATCGTGACGTGCGGCGGCAGCAGGAAGTACAGCCGGCGCGTGTGGTCGTTCGTCTTCTCGTCCGCCGGCAGCACCGCCTGCTTGCCCTCCCACGCGACGTGCCACGAGCCCCCCGGGAACGAGCCCCGGCTGTCGTCCTCCCATTCGATCATCAGGATCTTGGTCCCGTCGTTGGCTTTGCCCGCCTCGAACTCGAAGCGGGCGAGCGCCGTGATGGCGATGGTGGTGTTGGTGTTGGCGTCAGAGGGGCATCGCGAGGGGTCGAGGGCAGCGAATGCGCCGCTGTCCGGGGTGAAGGGCGTCGGGAGGGAGTAGGACATGGCGGTGGCGGTCGGATGGATGGAGGGATATGGGTGGAGGGTGGAGGGTTGGTGGGTTGGATAGGATGGTCTGGTGGTGAGGTCGAGGCTCGGGCTCGGGATCAGGAGGCGCGGGAAAGGGAAATGGAAATGGAAATGGTGGCTGGCACGAGTGGATCACAGTCAGACGGAGGCATCGGAGGGCGGGTGCTGGTCGGGTCTCAGGCAGTTACGGACGGTTAGGAGGGGATGGCGATGGCGCGGACCGGTCTCTGGGCCATTCTTGAGTGGGGAGATTCGATGATCTGCAGTAAGGAAGAGGGCGAGAGAGAGAGAGAGAGAGAGAGAGAGAGAAGAAAGAGAAGACCGTTGAGGGTTGAGGGTTTGAGGGTTTGAGGGGTTCCCGCCGCGCTGCTAATTATAGTAGCCTCTTGGCATCACACCGCGTTTCTGCCCTTCAAAGATAATAAGAACACTCAAAGAATCCCATCGCAGCCCGTAACACCTCACTATGTCACTGCCACTGCCACTGCCATTTCCAACACCCCATCTCAGTCAGTAATCAGACTTACAGGACAGTGGCAATACGCAGATCCACCACATGGGCCAGACAAGAGGGGGGAGACAACATGGGACAATACGCGGGGCGGCACATTCCTGGCCCACGACTGGCCCTGCCCCAATGACCGCAGGTGATGAAGACCGGCCCTCGCATGCAGGGGATGCGCTTAAGGTTGTATAAGAATGACGCCCGCCCAGTCTGTTCTATATTTGTCCCAGTCGACGGGGCACGGTCATTGGCAGGCCTGTCACGGGCCGGGGAGGGGAAGGCGTGTCAAGTCGTGTCAAGTCGAGGGCATTTCGGGTCTGGTGGGTTCAGTAGGGACATTCGTTGGCGAGTGAGGGTGGGTGCCTTACTAAGACGTCGATGGGCGGGCTTGATTACTGCTCCAGTCAAACCGAATCAAAGCAAGCAGGATTCTCAAGGTATAGTACTCCGAGGAGGGGCATAGGATGTGGTCGGATAGACCAGACCAACCGGTCCGTCGACTCGAGAATGCCTCAGACTGACTCATTCTCAGGACAATCATCACAATCATCAGAATCATCAAGATCATCAAACCATCAAACCATCCCATCGTCCATCTACACCAGAGCACCCTCTACATATATCCATCCCATCCCATCCCAGACGCCGTGGAGTTACCAAAAATATCCCACCCAGACAGAATAGTATTAATAGCAGTCCCTCCTCCTGGTTCAATGTATGTACCTCCTACCTACATACCCCCGCATGCGCCATGACGCAGCCCAATCAGGACCCCTCCCCAAAATAACTTCCTTGGCCTGTGATGAAAATAGGAAAGCCTGCAGATACCCGGCGCCTTGGCCAGCGCCTGATAGCGTGCGCTGACCTACCCTCCCTCCCTCCCTACCTACCTCCCAAAGCGCCGGACAGCAGTGACCCGGTCACGACAGTACGGATTGGCCCATGTCTGTGGCCCATCACCAACGGAGGGTGGTCAGGACGGGCTGGATTGGACAGACAGATGGCGATGGTTGGCGCGGAGGATCCTGGGGCGGCTGAGACTGAGAGCACGGCGGCAATGGAAGAAGGAAGGAAGGAAGGGGGGGCAGGACGGCTGCTGTGTGATGAGGAGGATGGCTCTGCATTAACTTTGGTGATGGAATCCTTCAGATGACATAGTTAACGGGGACTGTCCGACCAAAAATAGAGTCGAGTCGGCGCGTAGGGCTCGATGGGCGTCGCCACACGTCATCCAATCCCCCACACGGCCGGGCGGGCCAATCAGTCCGTCAGGGAGGGACGAGGGACGCCGGCAAGCCCCACCGCGGCGCTTAAATGCGGACAGCAGCTGAGTCTTTTGACATGTTGTATAGTAGTTACCAACATGTAGCGCCAGCAGAAAGCAGCAGAGATTGAACAGATATGAGGCTGAGAAGACACCTTGCCATAGCCAACACCAACAGATGATTACAGTCCAACCCAATCCAATCCAATCCAATCCACCTACAGTACATCAACGGAGTACATCCATCCATCATCCATCAATATTCATCTCACAATCACAACCCTCACTCAATAAACCAACAACCAACAACTCAACCCCTCAAAAATCTAGAACCCATCGAACCCCCCTTCCCATCCAACCAATCCCCCCCCCCCCCCCCCTCCAGCCCATCTATCCTCCTGCATCCGCAATTCTTCAGCACAAACCTGAAACACCTCAGCGCGCCTTGTCAACCAATCACGGTCCCCAACACCCCCGTGCGAGATCACAGCCCGGCTCCCATCACGCACCACACTATGCCCTTTGCGGCTGTTTTCTACCCGGTCAGGGCTGCTGATTCGTCCGGTAATGCAGAATAGAATAGCAAGGAAGGTTTGGCTGCGATTCCCTTGCGGTGGGGGTTCCAATCGTGAGGGTAGGGTTGCCGCCGGGGTTGTGTAGACGGACCGGACACTCTTACCTACTGTGCTGGTAGGGTGGTAAGGGAAGTTGGTAGGACTGTATAGTAGGTGGATGGAGAGGGAGGGGGTCGTATGGGGGTCGTATGGAGGTGATATTTACGGGGGGGTGACGGGGTTTGACCTGTACTAGGTAGTGAGAGGGGTATTTTTGAAGGGTACGGTATGGATGGGTTAGTGGTAGAGGTAGGTAGGTAAGTAGGTAGGTAGGTAAGGTAAGGTAGAGGCTCTGCTCTACTCTGTACATTCACTTATGATTATTACTGATTCTATCTCTTCGAGTCTTTGACATTCATGATTCATCCTACCTACCTTGCTACCTACCTAATTTACCTATCCCATCTCCTTGCTACAATCCTCCCAGTCAAAATCACACTACACCACACCATACCACACAACACCACACTACACTATAGCCTACCCAGCATACACCACAAACCCTAGGTACCGTAGGGCTACTCCCCATTCACCAAAAAAAAACATACCATGCTATACACATACCCTCCTCTCCTCTCCCCCCCCTCCCCCCTCCTCTCCCTCTTCAAATCCACTCAACCCCAACCAAATGAACTAACCCACCGCGCCTGTCCAACCCCTCCCAAAGGCCCATTACCGCGCCCAACCCCCCTAGCCCAAAGCCTATGGGCTATGTGCGGGCGGCCCACACCCAATCGTCACCCGTACCGTCCCCCCGGGTAGCCGTAGCCGTAGCCGTAAGTAGCCTCGTCGCAACATCCCTTCCCCCCCCCCCCCCCGGAAAGTCAATACGGCGCTGCTTGCTTCCTGCGAGCCTGCAGCGCCGTACTTACTTAGTCGGTCGGCTATGTCTGTCTATCTATCTATCTATCTATCTATCTATCGATCTATCTATCGGGCACCGATCGCGCGGTTGGCCCGCCATGCGGGTAGTGGTTTACACGTGGTGCCATTGCTTTGGGACGAGAGGATGAAGTGGGTTTGTATTTGGTTTTAGTTCTGGAGGGGGAGGTGGATGTGGGTGGGTTCAGAAGGAGCCTGAGGGGTTATGGTGTTGTGGTTTGGTTTTGAGGGCAACTGGTCATCTATTGTATCGTGGATGATAGAACCGATGGTATGGTGTTTGGACTGACTCTGACGTGGAGGATGGAGCCAGGCCGGGCCAGTATGAAAGTCGACTGAGTGGCAGGGAGGGTCATAGCAGGGGGGGAATCGGAATCGGATATGGCTGGCCTGATCTTACCCTGGTATTTATTGCATGTTTATAGGGCATGGCGGGCATCGGTAGCTGTCATCGGAGAGTGCTCTCATTGAGCAATCTATTAGTCTACAGTCTACAGTCTACAGTCTACTACCCCAATCAACAAGCGTGTAGAATACGCACAAGTTAAAGCGAAGAAGCAGAAAATCATTTCAAATCGCGCTGTCTGTCTGCTAATCCAAACCAAAACCAAACCAATCGCTCCCCGGACTCCCAACGCCGAACCCTGCGCTAGTAACCTCGACCAAACAAAGAAAACCAAATTAAACCAAGCCAGAACATGCCCCCCCCCCCCCCAATCTTCCGTCTCATGACTCCTCCTTCTCCTCATTATGCCTTCTCCGCTTCCCCTTGGGCGGCGCATCCAGCTGCGTCCGCTTGTACGTGACCGTGTGCGTGACGACATGCCGCACGCTGACCCGACTGGTCGTCGCACTGCGCGGCCCATCCCAGTAGCGCAGCTTCCAGTCCGACGGCGAGTAGGGCGAGAGCATGGCCGAGGCGCTCCGCGGCGTCTCCAGGGTAGGCGAGTAGCGCATGGCCGGGGGGATGCGCAGACGGCGCAGACTGAGCATGTCGCGGCGCGCTGGCGGGATGGACCCGTACGGCGACGGCGGGGGCAGCGTCGCCGTGGCGGGACGGACTGCTGCCGTTGCTGACCCTGACCCTGACCCTGACCCTGCTCCCCCTGCTGATGCCGGGTCGGAGAAGCTGAAGGAGCCGCTCACGGCGCTGGCCGGCTGCGACGTCGGCGTGCGGTTGGTCTTATCCCACACGAAGCGGGTGACGGTGCCGCCGTTGCCGTCCGGCGAGAAGATCGGCGTGAATGCCTTGAGAAACTCCGTGTAGGCGGCTGGCGGGGTGATTGGGGTCGAGAGACCGTCGTCGTTTCTGCTGCCCCCGCCGGACAGGCTGCTGCTGCTGCCGTTGATGTCTTCGCGAAGCTCCGACGGGAACGTCATGTTCTTGGGCGTCTTCAGCGGGTGGAGGATGGGTTTGGCGGGCATTTTGGCGGTGATTGATAGATTGCTTGAGGAGACGACACGTCTGGGAGATGGAGATGGCGATGGTGATGGGTGATGGGGTCGCGAGGCGCGCGCCTGACCTGGCCTGATCTGATCTGGTCACGTTGTGCGTGGCAGTAGGCGGCGTGGTGGAGTATATAGAGGTGGAGGGCAGCGGCTCGCCCGGAGTGAGGTGAAGTGAGGTGAGGTGGGAGGAGGAGATATCAAGGAAAGTAAGAAGACGGAATCTTCAGGACCTCAGCCGTAGGAAAAAGGAGAGAGAACGAGGGAGCGAGAGGGAAAGGGCAGTGGAGGAGGAGATTATTTATTATCTCGAGTTGACGCCGGGCAAAGGCAGACGGATTCCCCGTACCGTACGCGTCCTGACGCCGTCACCGTACCCGTACCAGTACCAGTACCAGAACGGTTCTGTGTCTCGTACGGACGGACTAGCCCTCCCTCGGGCGGCTAGTAGGGTAGGCAGGCTGGGTAACCCGTCATCCTCAGCTCCGATGGATGAATGAGATGCGATGCCATGTTGCTTCTCACGGCTGCTGTTGCTGATGATGCTGCAGGTGCTGCAGGTGCTGCGCGTGCGGTGGTGTGGGTGTAGGTGTGGGTGTGGGCATTGCGAAGTGGCGATCGTCGAGGGCTTGCAGCGGACACAGACAGACGGGTGGAGGAGGTGAAGTATGAGCGTCGCATCATGGGGAGGAAGTTGAAACTCCTTCAATCCCTCCTCCTTCTATTGTCTTGACTTGCTAATGCTTTCCCAAGCTCTCCAACTTCTCTACAGAATACAGGAATTACCATCAATACCAAACCAGCACCCGTAACCCCCCCCCAATCCTGCAGAAAGAATATCGCCAACTCCCCTCCACCTGTCACTCCTCCCATGCAGACGGATCCTGCAGACACAGCGACACCCACACCCCCTTATCACCCAAGACAGACCAGACCCTCCTCGACAACTTGGCCCCTCCTGGTTTGCTCCGCGGCAACGCGCACGTCCTCCGGCTGGCCTCCGGGCGGCTCGCCCATCCGGATCAGATCCCAAGGGCCCATGGCACTTCGTCACTCTACGGTCTATCCGACACCGCGTCCTGTGTCCCGTGGTTGGCGCGGACTGGATCCTTCAATTCAATTCCATTGTCACTAGCTGCATGTCATCTTGCTGGGCCTGTCCTGTCCTGTTTTTTTTTTTTTTTTTTCCGTCCTGTCACGAAGGGAAGGAATGAGCCGGTTCTGCATCCGCTTCCGTTGCCATGCCATGGAGGGCAGATCGCGCGGGGTCTGTGTCTGTGTCTGTGTCTGTGTCTGTGCCTGTGCCTGTGCCTGCGAGAAAGGGTATGTCATGTCTGTCTGTCTGTCTGTCTGTCTGTCTGTCTGTCTGTCTGTCTGTCTGTCTGTCTGTCTGTCTGTCTGTCACCTGCCTTGGCGTCGGTTCTGCAATATGCAACATGGTCACACCAACGCTTGCAGTTCGGCTCAACGGCCGGTGCATGGTCCTGAGGGGAGCAGTTGCCCATCCATCGGGGGAGATGCTCCTGGCTAGCAGGTAGTTGCTCAGTGCTCTCTTTGGCCAACAGGCCACTGTTTGTTCCTGTCGACTCGGTTGGTGACTGATGGTATATATGCTGTTGGACTACACCGTCTTCCCAACTATAGCTGCATTGTGGGACGATACAACCTCCCAATAAACCACCAGCCCAAAGACAAGAGATTGTCCAAGGCTGGGAGCTACACCACCAGTGCCTTTGACGAAAATAGCGCCGGGCTCGAATCGGATCCAAGCCCGGAGCTATCCATCACCATCACCATCAGCTTGGTTACGCCAACGGCGTGGAACTGCGCCTTCTGGCTGGCTGGCTGGCTGGTTGGCGAATCGCCCTTTCGGTCTTGCATGGCTATAGGCAAGTAATGCCTGTCTTGCCTTGTCCTGTCCTGTCCTGTCCTGTGACTAGAGACCATGACCATGACCATGACCATGCTTGAGTGGGCTCGTTCAGCGCTTATTCTCCCTTCTCCCTTCTCCCTTCTACCCACCCCATACCTACATCTACCGTAGCATGCGTGTACAGACTCAGTTGAGGATTACCTGACTACATGCTTCCTTCCAATGTCCCAGCTTCAGATTGAATCTCATATCACCCGTGTTGACTCAGTGTCTGTGAAGGGAGGGAAGGGGGTTCAACTTTCCCCTCAACCGCCATCCTATGTCCTGATCCTAATCCTTCCGCGAACGCTGCATACCCCGCTCATGAGAGCCGATCTAACTAACTACCTACCTACCTACCTACCTACCTACGGTACGCAGACTTCTGGCCACGTGAAAGTACTCACAGACCGAGATTACCTGGCTTTCTGCAATTTCTATGCACAGATGCAGGATGCAGGATGTAGGATGTAGGATGCATCGTTGGGGTGTTGACTGACTAGCATAGTATTATTCCGGCTGGGGAGCTGAAATAGGCATGTCACTGATTAGATACAAATCAGGTACCTTGGATGTACAGGACATATGCGAAGGCTGTTGATGGTTGATGTTTGCTCTATTTAGTTGCTGTATACAAAATCTTGTATTTGAAATTTACATGCTTACCTGCTTATGAGGGTTCTTTGATCATATTATTCAGTGGCATAGTCTGGCTGTCTGTCTGTCTATCAGTTACTTGGCCAGTATCAATATCCACATACTAAAAGATAGTCACAAACTATAACATCTCAATAGATAATTCGACCAGACACCGCAGAATAAATAAAGGTAATGGTAATAGGGACTAAGGAATGGTGATAGGGGATACGAAGAATGAATACGCGCAAATCATAGCATAACCCTGGCAGAGAATAGCAGTCGGGAGGCGAATAGGTAGGGACTTGTTCTCTTTCATGACTGAGGGATATCTTCTTGTCTGTACTCTGTTAGTAAAACTGTCTAACTCTAACTCTACAACTGTCCAACTGTCCACTCCTGTGACGGGATGACGGGATGACGGGACCAGAGGGGGATAAAGTCACAAGGTAAATAAATAGACAGGCAAGCTCATCTGCAAGAATGCTCTTTATCACTTCATAGAGCAGGTGATGGGTTAGGGCAGTCCGGGTGGAGTTTACATGTTACCGAGGGGGGAAGGTTGTAACGAGCGTGATTTCTTGATATTTTCTCTCTCTCTCTCCCTCCTCTCTTCTACTTCCTTTCCATGCTATCCAAGCCTAGGCTATCTGCCAACCCACCCACCACCCTAATACAACCCATCATACAACCAGTCAACGACCCAACCAACCCCAAAAAAGAAATTCACAATGCCCAGAACACCAATTTCCAAACCCGAAACAGGAGCAAGAAAAATCATCAAATCAAAGAAACATGTATGCACGCATCCAACCAGTCAGTCAATAAATCATAGCAAACATGAGCACGTCAAGAATATGGTTTTCTGTCAGTTTTGTCATCAGAAAAAAAAAATGAAAGAAAAGAGAAGAGAAAAGGGTAGAAAAACAGAATGATGATAAATCATAAATCCAAACTCCACAACACTCCACATGCCATGATCCGGGGTATGGGATGAATGATAATAATCGCGAAACGATGAAGAATAAGATGGTGAGATGACTGTCAATGCCTCTGGTTATCCCCGCTCCACCTACCTCGTGGGGAGCGAGTAGAGAAGAGAAATGAAATGAAGATAAAATGAAAATTCACGCATGCATGCATGCATGATGCATGTCCCACCATTCCCGGTCCAGCCGGGTGGGAGGGACAGCGGGAGAATATCAGCAATAACGGAAGAATCTCATGCCGAACGGGGTATCTGGACTTTTGCCGGAAAAGTGGAAGAACAAACAAATGACGAAAAGGGTCCCATCAAGGGATATTAAACTGTGCATCATCTCAGAAGATGAGGAGGAGAAAGAGGACGATCAGAGAAGAAGATAGTCCCAGCCATTCTGCTGCATGACTTCGCGCCAGTGCAGAAACGGAGTCTTGACTTCTTTCAGAGTCCACGGGGCGGCTGCGTCCTTGGGAGATTCGGGTTCCTCGTGCTTGACGGGGCTGAGGATTTCGGTGATGGAGGAGGGACGCTCGGGGGTCTGCGAGGGCTGCTGCTCGATGGGTTCGATGGGATCAATAGGTTCGATAGGCTCGATGGGCTCGATGGGTTCATCAGAGACGCGCCACACCTCCTGCAGGACGCGGTACATGCGACCGAAGCTGCCCAGCCGGGCATGTTCGCCCAGAGCGGCGGCACGGTCGGCGATGACGGTACGGAAGTGGCTCTTCGGGGCGGAAAAGGCACCGGCGATGAGCAGCGGCCAGACCAGCGAGCGGTCGAAGCCGTCGGGCCCGGCGGGGATATACTGCAGGACGTGGACGACGGCGGCGACGAGGTTGACGGTGCTGGGCTGGCAGCGGTCGAAGCCGGGGACGAGGCTGCACAGGTAGAGGCGGGCGGCCAGGCGGAAGGCGGCGGTGATGCTTTTGGACAGGATCTCCGGCGAGAAGGCGCCCGACGGCAGCAATGCGCTCTCCAGCGTCTGGCTCGCCGGCTCGGTGAACTCCAGCTGCTGCCCCAGCGCCGACACATGCGAGCAAACCCCCATCTCGTCGATGCGCCCCTCGCGCTTCAGCGCCTCCAAGCAGCTGATCTCCGACACCAGGTACATCACCCGGTCGTCGCATCCCATCAGCTCGCGCAGCCCCAGCGACGACCCGCTCAGGTGCTTGCCCCGGTACGTGTGCGCGAACTCGGGCGTCTTGCCGTGCATCGTCGACCCCAGGATGTCGATCCACGCCGCCAGGGTCATCGTGAACGACGGCGGCAGCATGTACGGGTTCCCGCACGCCGGCATCGCGGTGGGGAGCCCCAGCCGGTGCACCAGGTTGGACGCCGCCTGGAAGTGGTCCGACCAGGGGATGTCGGGCAGGTAGTCGTCCGCCGGCCCCACCGAGCAGTGGAAGAAGATCATCGCCAGCGTCGCGTCCAGGATCTCCTCGTGGTTGGTGTCCTCCCCCAGCGCCAGGCACAGCTGCGACACCGCCTCGAACCGGTTGCGCATGATGTCGTGGTCGATCTGCTCGCCCACCAGGCCCTCCGTCGTCTTCAGGTGGATGGCGGCCACGCTGAGGCAGCAGTGCAGGTAGCACCTGTTCGTCTCCAGCGCCTGCAGGATGGCCTGCGCGCGGACGTGGCCGCGCTGGTGGGCCTCCACGACGGGGAAGATGATGCGCAGCACGTTGTGGATGAAGTGGTCGAGCAGGGGCCGGTCGTGCTCGCTGACGGGGATGTTGGACTGCAGCAGGGCATACGTCTGGCCGATGGTCTGGTCGCAGACCAGGGCCGGGTCGATCCCGATGCTGGGCAGCGCCGGCAGCTGGCCGAAGTACTCGTCGTGCAGCCAGTCCTCGCCGGGGAAGGTCGGCAGCGGGGCGTTCAACTGCGGCGGCGCGAAGGTGCTGAACGTCGAGCTGCTCGAGTCGTGGCGCAACGGCACGTCGTTGATGAAGGTCTGCCGCTCCGTCTTGACGTCGATCTCGTAGGGGTGGCTCGGCGCCAGGGCAGCAGGCGTCGGCAGGTGCGAGGCGAAGATGTCGTACGTCTCCGGGAACACAGGCCGGCCAAACTCATACTCGGGCGAGGTGGGCGAGGCCACGGCCATGCTGCGACTGCGCATGGAGGGTTCTATATCGATGCCATCGAAGGGCCGGTTAGAACGGGGCCACGGTCCCAGGGGCCATCCACCACCACCTACCAGTCAACGACCCCCCACTGCTGCGCTCGTTCATCTTGGTCTGCTTGATCTTGTTCTTGATGCGCTCCTTCTGGATCCTCCTCTGCTCGGCGTTGCCCCACCAGATCGGACGCTTGTACTCGCATTTCACGCACAGGTTGACGCAGGCGGAGCAGGACGGGTGCTTCTCATCGCACTTCTTTCGACGCAGGCGACATGTGAAGCAGCCTGGGGGAAGGTCGAGCCTCGGTCAGTATCCGGCATGTCTGGCATGTCTGGCACCAGTCCAGGTGATGGATGTCCAAGGTGTCAGCCACCTACCAGAACGAGATCGCTTGTGCAACTTGGCAGGGTTCTTGTCCATGGGACCCGTCGAGGTCCCTTCGCTGCCCGACGACTCATCGGCCTTGATAGACAAGACCCGGACGGGGGAGATTCTCTTCTTGGAGGCAGCAGGCATTGTGATATCGGACTTGGACTTGGACTTGGACTCGAGAGGGACAGGACACAGTTCGGCAGGGAGCTGTTGCGGGTGGGGGTGGGGGGGAAGTGGAAATATTAAGGGAAAAGCTGGACCAGCAGCCTTTGCTATCTAATTAGGTATAAGAAGAGAACGAAAGGCGCGGCGGCACGAAGGAGGCGGTTGGGGGGATAACGCTGGGGGGGGACAGTGACAGTGATCTGGGAGAGCAGGCATGGCAGTGTGGGAATGGCGGAAGCTTTAAAACGTGAATGGAGCTGCAGCAGCCAGGGCAGGCAAGCCATGATGTTTCTATTTTCGACCAGGAGGGGAATGAAGGCTGGAGGCGCATCCCTGCCGACCACCAACAGGGAGCCCTGCACGGACAGGAGCTAGTCGGCCCTAATCGCTAATTTTGGACGTTTGCGAAGTCTGTCGATTTGGCGCCCGACTGATTGGCCGGCGCATCGCGAGTCCTGGGCGCCTGCACGATTGGGACTCTGTTTCTTTTTTTGTGTTTTTTGTGTTCGTCTGTCCCACGATCGTCTTCCCAGTCTACTGATTGATGGATGGCCGTGCCACCCCGGAAGCCCTCTCCTCGGGTACCACCCTGGGCTTCTGCCATATCAACGGGGAACTATTGTCTCCGGGGGGAGATTACTCTCAAGTCAGTCAGCCAGAGAGAATCCAGAGCACCCTCACCATCTTCGACCGGGTCCGATTGCGCCTGATAGCGGTGCACCCACCAATAGTAGGCAAATTACTTCGTGTTGGGGAGAGACCTTGCCCCAATGGGGGAAATGCGAGGGCGAGGACCTACATGTGGTGCTGCAGGCCGACGTAAGTCCAGCAAAAGCCGTTGATGGAGCGGGGGAGACCAAAATGCCAGGCACATTGCAATGCCAACCGGCTAATCCCTCCTCCAGCGTCCAAGGGGGACTAGTCTCTGGTCTCTGGGACAAGGGTCTTGTGTGTCTTGTGCAGGCAGACAGTCAGACGGGGCCAATGGGGGGGCTGGGCGGCAGTGTGCGGGGGGGGGGGGGGGGGAGGTCATGGAGCATGATGAATGAATGATAGATCGTTAGTGATACTATCAACATCAACTGCCATCCAGTCGCCCAGCAGTCAGCACCTACAGTAGCCTCCGGGCTAGTTTAGTGGGGGGGAGCCAAGCTTCCCCCCTCTGGCGGGCCATTGGCCGGCGGTGGCATGGTTGCTTGCAGAGCGGGAAAAGCCGCAGCCAACCGTGCTGCAGTGGGGCACCACCGGGCTGGCGGCCATTGGCCAGCAGGGTTCTGTGCGACCAAGCACACTTTGGCCAAGGTGTGATAAGATGACGCTAGCCTCGCGATCCCGGCCGGCCAAGACCCTGGCCTTAATTAGTCCCAATTATCTAGCCGCCAGGCACTGGTCCTGGGTGTGTCCTGCTGCTATTCTTATCGCCCACTCCCCGGCCCTCGTGCAATGTGCCATAATTATTAGCCTTTCTCAACTATTGCCGGAGTAAATTGGCTGTCCCATGATCCCGTCTGACTGACTGACTGCCTGCCACTGCCAGGACCGACCAAGATCTGACAGCGGGGCCCGGTGGGGAGAATGACAGGATGGATGGCCACTAACTGAATTTTGACTTTGGCTGGTTCTGCAACCATCGCCCGCCAGTCACACGGCCTGCCTGTCACCTTTGGCTCCCCTCCCCTAAATCTGGCCGGCGGTTCCAGGCACGGTCGCACATACTACCCCGAATCTCTCTCCCATTGTTGACCATGTCTCATTTGAACAATGGAACCGACCGGTTCCTGGCCCGTCCCTTGAGCTTGACCTCCCTCGACCTTGAGGGAACACGACTTACTTCCCCGGACAGACAAAGTCCCCTGTCCTGTCTTGTCCAGCCCGACAGAGTCGGTCAGCACGCAGCACAGACGGAAGCGAGTCGCTGTCAGGCTTGTCACAACGCGGCTGCCGTTTCTTATCACATTCCTGCAGCAATTAGCGTCCCCTCCGCGAATCAGGCCCGTTCGCCATGAGGTCAGCCTGCCAGTTCCACCCGATTTTGTGACCTGTGCGCTCACTAGTCACTACTACTATCCCGATGCCTGGTCTTCCTCTCGCGTCGCTCCTCTCCTGCATGGCCCTGGCCCTGTTCTTTGTCCACCTGCAGGCCGACCACACCGCAAAAAAAAAAATGCAAGATTGGACCAGTGTACACTGCGCTATCCGGCGCAGATCGGTGCATAATCTAACCTACCCCCCTTTGGGTTAAGCAGGGGTGCTGAAAATGCAGCCCGTGCAGCAATCACACCTCGCATCCATCCCATCCCTCCGCATGGCTGGGTGGATGCCCCCCTCCCCCTCCCCCTCCCTCTCCCCAGGCTAAGATTTCCTTCACCGTGCTTGCGGCAAATTTTGAGGAGGATTTCCAATATCTCCGAGAAGGGTGAGCCGTTATGTCATGGCTGTCTGGCTCTTCCGAGGTGGGGTTCACAGGCAGGCACACTGCATGGTTTGTGCGCCGTGCAGCATATCGACTCCCAACAAGTGACGGGGATGCATGCTGATGGTTTTTTTTCGCCCAGAACATCCGGCGATTCGATCTCAAGGACACAGCACAACACAATGCACGAGAATAGAAGCAAGCCCGTCTGCCAATAGAAAGAAAAAGAAAGGAAACAATCGATGTGCAATCCCAGCGAATCGCCGGTCAGACTGGATGTAGCCGCCCGTCGTGCATCTCGTACCCTCCCCGGCGTCTAAAAGAGGGGCACCGGATCTAAAGGTATCATCGATTCCAGAGAAATGCTCCGGATCCGACTGAACTCATCCGCGGACCGGCACCATCCAGACGCTTTCTCTAGTGCACGCCCCATCTGGCTATTGTTTGAAGGCGCTGCGTCCCGCTGGCCACTATTGCTTCGGCCTCGTCCCCGGGGATCTCAATTCCGGGCCTCTGGCGCTCTGCACGTAACCGCCGGGCAGATCATTGGCATTGAATTCGCGATCCGACTAACGGGGGGGTGAGACCTGTTGCATTTGCTGTGTCACCTAGAGCAGCAGCGCGGAATACTGCCGGGGCTCATTGGATGTCTGCCGTCGGCGTCTCGAGAAGGTGTATCCCGGCGGCTGGGCATCGCATCGATCCGGGTCTTTCGTCCCAGAATCGCAGTCGTGGGTTGTTGGGCTGTAGGGCGGATCTTCTAGAGGAGAAGTGTTTCATCGCATCTCCTCCAGGCCATGCTCGCTGGCCACGAGTTCATCGTGGGCGTCATTCGGGCTGCTCTTCTCCCGGTTGCAGGCTAGTGGGATCTGGTGCTCGTGCTCATGAACCACTTGATGCTATTATTAAACCAGACTAACTTTACTGCATGGACGGCGTGACTGGGTCCCATGGGCTGCTCTGGATTGGCTCTGCCAGGATCTGGTGAAAGGTTCGGCGGCCTGGATGGAGGGTGCGTTGCGAGCCGGAAGTATACGCATGGCATGAGTTAAGGTTGCTATATTTATCAGGATTTGCATTTAGCGGTGGATTGTACCGAGTGTCTGTCCTAGATTAGATCTTCCTCGGATGTTCGTCTCGAAATAGGTCTAAGCGAAGGGTGCCATGTGTCCAAAGGTTGGCCATGGGGCGCGGCTACTATCAGCGCTGCCTTCAGTAGTTCTTTATGTATACTGGCGATAAATTGTGCAGACGCAATTTAATGTTCCACAACACCAACAATGACAAGACTTTATATTTTTGTTATCTGTCTAGACTGTTCAAAGAATGCCTCCTTCGCCATGCAATACTTCATATCATGTCTGTGTTGCATGCTGTGTCTCTGGCCAGCCTGAGTGGTGCCTGAGGTGCCTGAGGCTCCCAGGCGCGTGCCTCGGAACCGGCGTAAAGCGGTGGTCAATTAACTACTATTATTGATACATCCGGCGCAACTCCGCCTGTTCACCAACTTATCACGACGCGTCTTCATCCCCAACAGCGCTTAAGCCATCCATCCCAGCCGCTTCTCCTCTACTTCCCCTCACCTCCCCGTCATATATCATGCGAAGCGACTCGCCATGTTCCGCCTCCCGTTAGTGCGCGCGTTCTTCCGCGTCCCACCTCCCCCGCCGGCCCCGGCGTCATCGCTCTTGACCCGCCGCATCCCATCACATTCCCGCAGCGTCTCGCCCTCGATACGCTCCCTCTCGTGGAGAACAGGCACAGCCCGCCCCTCTTCCCTCCAGCCTCCCCTCCGGGCCTTCCGTCCGCCATCCCGGCCCTTTTCGAACTCCCCTCACAGCAAGGCCTGGCGATCCAACAACTACCGCCGGTTCGATACCAACAATGGCTCGCGGCAGCCACTGTGGATGCAGCTCGTGCACAAGTCCAAACCACAACACTACGTCATAATAGGTCTGATCGGAGGAGGCTTCTATGTCTACAATCTGGAGACGGTGGAGGTGCGTGCCCCTCTCTTCTTCGCCGTCGGACCCGGATGGCTGAGGTGATGTTGTTCCGCAGATAACGGGCCGTCGCCGATTCAACTGCATCCCCGCGGCGTGGGAGTTGAAAATCGGCCAGCAGAGCTACCAGGAAGTGCTCCAACAGACCCGAGGGAAGATCCTCCCGGAAAACCACCCCATCACCATCAGGGTGAAACAGATCCTCTCGCAGCTGATCCCCCATGCTCCGATCGAAGGCGCCGACTGGAAAGTGCACGTCATCAACGATCCGGAGCAGAATGCCTTCGTTCTTCCGGGGTACGTTCTGACCTTACCTTACTGCCACCCGGACTCTCCTGACTGACTGACTGACTGACTGGCACCGCAGCGGGAAAGTGTTCGTGTATACGGGCATCCTCCCCATTTGCAAGGACACCGACGGTACAGCTGCTGTCCTGGCCCATGAAATCGCTCACGTCGTGGCCCACCACACCTCCGAGAGACTCAGCCGGAACTTCATCACTATCGGCGCGATAGCTGCATTGGTCCTCCTGTTTGACATCTCCGGACAGCTCTCCTCGGCGTTCATGAACCTCTTCTTCGAGCTGCCGCACTCGCGGGCGCAGGAGGTAAGCTTGTCATCTCGCTGATGAGAGATTGAAACTGACTATCATCCAGACCGAGGCCGATGCGATGGGACTGAGTATGCTGACCCTGTCCGACATTTGATTATCATGTCACTAATGATTTTGCGTATAGTGATGATGGCAAAAGCGTGCTTCAACCCCGAGGCTGCCGCTGAAATGTCAATTCAACCCCCCCCCCCCCACCTTCTTTTCCAACATCAGACCTAACAACCCTCTAGGTGGGATCGCATGAACCAAGCCGTGAAAGACGCACCCCCTCAATTCCTATCCACCCATCCAGCAGTAAGCCATCCTACCCACCCTCAACGCCTCGAGAGCAGACGACAGCTAACCCACTCGGTCCAAAGGCAACTAACCGCCGAGACGCCCTCCGCGAACTGTACCCCCCCCCATCCCCCTCCCCTCTCCCCAACGCCCGCGTCATACATATTAACCGGTCTATATATAGATTACACAAAGCCGACGCGATCTACGAAGACAGCGGCTGCCATACCATCCGAGGGTTCCGTAAGCGCCACCCCATCTTACTTACTTCTACCTCAACCCACGCTAACACTTACTATGTTTAGTCCCCCGTTTCAATGAATTCAACCAGCAATACACGGGGACGATGTAGATGAATGGTATCTATATTATCTATTTGCTTGCATGTATATATGCATGCATGCGGGCCAAATCTCAATCTCAATCTCAATCTCAATCTCCAGTCTTGCAGTCTTGTATACTAAATGAAGTATCCTCCGTCATACTATAGCGTTGCGTTGCGGAGTATTGGTTTCCTTTTGCGTCTGGCTGGTGTTTGTACACACATATATACATATACATATATTGTCTATGGGTGGTGGATGATACTTAAACCTGATATCTGATTCTATCCCAGCGATGATAGCACACATAAACTGTAACTGACCGAACTAAGAACTCGTGAAAGGCTATACCATGTCATATCATATCATCATAGTAGGCCGCTGGCGCAAGTTACCGCGAGGTTGTGGCCAGTTGTGGCCAGTTGTGGCTAGTTATAACCAGTTGCATAACAGTTTCTAATAGTTATTGACTAAAATAAATAGTAAGTATTTGTAAGGATAGTAATCCTTATAACCCTCGCGATATAATATATCGCGAGGAATGCCTATGCTGCGGAGGCAGTCCCTCGCGAAGTAATCACGCTAGTATAATATATAACTCACAGAATCCTCGCGGATATACTATCCGCGAGAGAAGCTAGATAGAAAACTAGCAATAATATTTTAAATAATATAAATATTATCTTAACTTCGCGATAAATATACTTTCTTTATACTATCTTAATATATACTCTTATAATCTTATTGCTTAAAACCCGCGAGATAATCTGTTAAAACTATATCTATATAAAATATTAAATATTATATCTGTAAAGATTCTCTTGATTCTCTGAAAATTAACCGCGAAGTTATTATAGAAAAAATAATTAAAATAAATATAATTTTATTATTCTCTAAAAATTTTTATAAATAATTAAATATACTTTAATAAATTATAGAATTAAAGCAGAGACTCAGAATTTCTGTAAATAATAAAAAAACTTATAAATCTCTAAGTAATTCTAATATCTTATTTATAAAATTAAAAAAGATTAATATATATATATATTCTCTATAAAATAGTAAATATTATAGCACTTATAATTATACTGTTTTTTAATTATTTATTATCTAGCAAAAGTCTACCGCGGAGATTAATAATTAAGATAAGAATTAATAAATATAGATTATAATTGTGATAGAATAACCCAGCTATCGGGATAAAGATCATCAGAATAATATATTATAGTAATTATGAGAGTTGTGTTATTGAGATGATATATTATAGTGATTATAAGAGTTATAAGATTATTAATAGTAGTTCTATATCTTTCTAATATTTATAAAATACTGATTTCTCTGTAAGAAGTTATTAATTCTTTAAGAATTAGTTTATTTTATAAATATAGACTATCTTTATTATTATTAAATAAATATATAGTATTTTATAATTAATTTTTTATCTAGTTAACAGGCTTTCTATTCTGATAAGTAAATTTTATTATATTTTAATTTTTCTTTTTTTAACTATCTAAGAAAGATATTATTTATTAAAGATAGTAAAGAAATAAAAGTACTTAATAATTAAATTAATCTAGAATTCTTGCTAAATATTATTCTTATTATTAAAGAGATTTAATAGCTAAAAAATTATATTTATTAATTAGAATAAATTACTAACTTATAGCAAAGAATAATTTATCTCTAAAGAAATAGCTCTCTAAATAAAATTTTTTTAAAATATTATTAATTCTTTCTTAAATTAAAAAAAAATAAAAAAAAAATTAAATTTAAAAATATTTCTTATTTTATTCTGAACTTTAATTTCTAAAAATATTAAGAATAAATTATTAATTTAGAATATATATTTAGAAATATATCTAAAAAATATTTATTAAAAAAATATAAGATTCTTGCTGTTATTAGCTATATAAATTTAGTATATAAATAGAGATAATACTATTTTATAAATAATAAAAATCTAAAAAAAAGATAATTTCTTAAAAAATTATAATTTTAATTTAAAGATTAGACTCTTATACTAATTTGAAATATTATTATTTTTTAATTAAATATTATAATTTAACTTAAACAGATTTATTAGTAATATAGCCAGAATCCGCGAGAGTTTTATATTTATCTTAATATCTTAAAGTAATATTTTTCTTGCTAAATAAAAAAAAAAAAAGTCTTATTCTATTTTACTAAGCTACTATCAGATTTAAATTATTATATTTAAAAATATATTCTCTATTTATCAGAGAAGCAGAACAAAATAATAACTATTACTATTTATTATTATAAACTATAAAAAAATAGAGAAAAATATAAGTAAAATAATAATTAATTTAGTAATTATAAGTCACGCAAGCACTTCTAAGAAATTACTAGTAAAATTATTAAGAAAGATATTCTAAATTATAGAAAAAATCTTATTAAAAAGAATAGTAATTAATTATAATATTTTATATATAAAAATATCTAATATCTTATAAATTAATATTTTATTAAAGATAAAAGAATTTAATCTATTAGAATCTATTAATTTTTATTAAATTTAGAGAGAAAAGTAGAGAAATTAAGATAGATTTTATAATTTTAATTTTTTTATTTATAATAAAGATTATATATTATTTTTATATTTTTATTTATATCTGAAACAGTTTTAAAATCTTTACAGATTTAAATAGCTGCGCCGAAGTAGATATTATTAATTATTAGTTTATTAAAGTTTATAATCTTTAATATATTCTAATTACTGCGCCAAAGATTAAAGCTATTAATTAAATTATTATTTTTATTTATAATATATAAAAAGTCTCTATTATTGCTACTAATTCATGAGAAGATATCTATATTTTTAAATAATATTATATAAAGATTAATTAGAATTTTTGATTAAAAGATAGCTCTGTATTACTTTTAATAATTATATTTTATAATTTATATATTATCTTATTAGTATAGAATTATTAATAATAATTTAGTATATTATTTATTTTACTGCTTTTTATTACTTAATTTATTAAAGTAATTTAAAACTTAATAAAAGTATATATTATTATTAAGCTTCCCGAAGATATCTAACTATTAGAAAAAAAATCTTATAATTTATTATTAAATTCTAAGATAATTCTTATTAAACTCAAGCAGTTCTAAGATATATTCTCTATAGATTTTTTTTAATAACTATCTTTTTATAACTCTGCGGATTATATTATTAATATTAAATCTAATAAAATATTTTCTTATAATTTAATATATTTCTTATTTAAAGCTGAACTTAAGATTTTATAAGAATATATTAAAAAAAATCTAAAATTAAACTAAATTTAATCTTTAAAGAGTCCTGCTGAAGTCTTTATTTTTTTTATATTTAAAAAAAATAATAGTTTATATTTTTATATAAATTATAAAAATCTTAATAAGATTTTTATTAAAAATTACTATTTTTTATCTCTTATTTTAAAGATTCTTAACAGAATTTTAAGAAGTATCTACTTTTTAAAAATTAATATTAAGAATATATATTATTGAATCTGTATTAAAAAAAATAATAAATAAAAAATAATATTTTATATTTAATACAGCTATTTTAAATATATAATTATATTATTTAAATTAACTAATACTTTAATAATTTTCTAAAACTATATATATACTATATTTCAAGAATTTCTTAATAATTTTTATATAGTATATCTAAATAATATTCTTATCTTTTTATTAGATAAGAAATCTTATATAAAATATATTTATTAAATTTTAGAGAGACTTTAAGAAGCTCAGCTTTATATAAAATTATTAAAATATTTATTCTATTAATTCTAAATTAAATTTCTAAAATATATTATCAACTCTGACAGAGTATCTATAAATTCTTAATAAATAAATAATATTATTTTATAACTGATTTCTGAAAATTATTATAATATCTAGATCTTTCTTAGATTCTATAACTTTTATTAATAATTTATTTAAGATTATTTTTATATTATCTTGTCTCTTACTTCTTTGCTTTGTAGAATAATTAATAGATAGAAATTAAAAAAGATTTATTTAATCTTAATTAAATAAATTATTTTCTGTTGTCTTATTATTATTTTTTAATAAATATTTTTATTAATATATTTTAATTCTATAAAACCCCGCTGTTTAGAAATTAATATATTAAAAAAAAAAATAAGTAGTATTTTATCTTAATTTAATATTAAGAATATATTTTATCTAGTTATATTCTGATTTTATAAATTCTTTAATATTAAGCTAAACTATAATACTTCAGATTAAGAGCTATTTATTATTATTTACTCTTTTAAATAATAATAATAATATTTAGAAGATACTCTCTAAATAATTAAGATTTTATTAGATTATTTAAACTTATAATTTTTTATATATTAAATCTAAATTAATAAAAAATAAGCTTGATAGCTTATAAGTCTAATTTTTTATAATTTTATTATTAAATATAAAATAGAGAAATTAAATCCAGCAGATAAATTCTTCAGAATATTTTCTAAATTTTAAATAAAATCTATTTCTTAAAAGAAATTATTAATCTTAATTCAAGTATAATTTATAAATATATTATCTCTGATAATAAAAGATCTTATTAAAAAAAAAATCTAGTTTAAATCTTAAGATATATAGAATTATTCTGGATTTGATATCTATATTATATTAAATTTAAAAAATTCTAATAATTAAGCTAATATAAAAACAGCTGACTAAACTGCTTAAAAAAATTTATCTTAAAAAAGATTTATTTTTTAATCTATAGTATTATAAGTATATATTATGGAAGTTTTATACTTAGATATATATAATTCTAAATTTTAAGAAATAATCTTATATTTATAAAATAATAATCCAGAGATATAACAGTAAAAAACTACTATTTAATAAAAATAATTAGATTAAAAATATTAAATTATTAAAATAACTAATTATATCTATTTTAAAGACTGATACTATATTCTCTTTTTTAAGATATTATATCAGATATTTATTAAGCTATATTATAATAATCTATTAGCAAAATATTTTAGAAAGATCTAAATAGAAATATTACTATGCAGAAAATTTTACTAAAATAGATTATAATATAATATAGCTAAATATATCTAAACTTATTTAATATATTAAGAAATTACTGCTCCAAAGCATTGATTATATAATAGTCTTAAATTATTATTAATTTTATTATATTTTTTTATTAAATTAATAATAGATTTTATTACAGAGCTGCCTTTTATTATTTAATATAAAAAAATTATTAATATTATTCTAG